GTCATTTTCATTTTTTTTAAAATAAAGGGTGGCCTTTGAGTATCAAGCTTTTTTTACCGCCAAATGTTTCTTAAATACAGTGTAAATTACCCCCGATGCGATGTCTATCAAATTTGATATGTGTCTTCAAGTCAATCATACATCAGCAAATATTATTTGTTGAAATTTGGCGAACAGTACATAAGTTGTTATAATTTTTGTTGGCAAGGAGGGTACCCATTTTTGATGCCCATTATATATTTTTTTATCATTGAAATTCACCTGCTCTTTTGCCTATAAAACAGGCATTGGTTGCTGTAAATGTCACATATTTCAGTTAATATGTCTTTGGGATATTTAGCAAGTTTTACGGCAGCTTTGATGAAGCTTTTATTTTTCACTCTAGTTTACTTATTCTCAACCATTCATTTATAAGGCAGTTTCTCGAAAAGCCTTTGTTTCCCAGCTTCTCATGATGGAACTTTGTGATAAAAAGTTGTCACATAAACTGTTATAAATTCACGAAAGATTCAATAATGAGAGAAGTAAAGGTAAATATCATATGATATCTGTAATGTATGTCATATAGTTCAGGACATTATTTATTGAACAGCCCTGGATTTTGGTATGCACTAAGTATTTTATGAACCATTCATTTCGGTTAAAACTTTATTTTCAACTGAACATTTTGGATAACGCGCAGCTTTATTAAATTTATTTAGATTTATTAGAATCGATTTCATCCAACTATACGAGAAACATGTACAAAAAGCAACAAAGCCAGATTTTGTTTCTGTTAAGATATTATCATTAAAAGTCTAACTGTTTTCAAAACTAAATTTACGTTCCAAAATAACTATCGGATTTATAAAGTACCAGATACAGTTTTTTTGAGAATTTATTACACAGATTGAGGCCCGCTAGATCATATCATGTGAAGAAGAATCTGTTTAATTTAGTGGGGTGGATACTTGTGGGCTTCTGGTCATTGAAATATTTGATCTCCTTTAGAAATAGAGCACCATTTCATCATATTCAGAAATAATAATTTTTTAAAACTAAACTGTATTAAATTTTTCTTTGCCAAATGATGATTATCAACAAGAGATATCATATTTAATGTACTCTTATGTCTGTAAGATTTGAAGTCTTTGTCACGATAATTTTCGGTTTGCGTTTTGTTTTTATTCTTTTAAATAGTTAATTCGATTTTGAATGATAAGTTGATGTTCAACGAATTAGACACTGAAAGATAAATTATGCAGAGATTGTTTATGAAATAAATAATTTATACCAACAGGAAAACTTGTATATTTTTAAAATGATCTTTTTACAGGAAGCTCCACTTCAAGTGGCTAATTTCTTCCGGCTAATTCAACCCACATTAAGTAATGTAAGACCTTAAATTGAATGATTGATTAATTGTATATTGCTATACATCAATTCCGCTGTACATCAGGGACATTTTGGCTGTTATCATTTCTCATTAAAAACTTTTAAGTGATGAATTCCCTTGCGACTCCCCATGAGGCTTTTAAAAATAAGGAATAAATTTGTGCTTGTCAATTGGATTGAAACATTGTTATATGTTAAAGACCATTTTATTTCTACCCGCTTTTACAGGAATGGTCCGTAATATTTTCCTTTTACTTGCTGTATATTTGATTGAATTTGATTGAGTATTATTAATGCCCAGTCGACAGTATTTCAGTCGTATTTTAGCAAGGTTTATTGGCGAAGTTTTCTTTAATTTCCTAGTAAGAATGATCAATTTTTTGTCCAAAAATCTAATCAAATTGCTGTTTGCAAAAAAAACTTATTTTTTTTTCTGTAACAGTCCATATTTGATAGATACAAGTATCTCTACTAAGACAGTCTCATTTTATGATTAATATCTAAATGCTTGTTAATTTTGACTGCCAAAGGTACATTTTTAGACATCAAGAATGAAAAGCCAGAACTGCAATGTTAATCTATATATCCTTTGTTGCTCCTTCTCTGTTTAGTATTTATGAAATGTGCAATTATATTTTATTAGCCAATCATTAACGGGATATTTTATACATAGAAACAACAATGCTTCTGATAAGTACAATAATGTTTGTTTAAAAAAAATAATAAACTATTAGCAACAGAAATACTAAACCACAGAACATTATTAGAAAGTCAAAAATCTACAAATAATGAAATCTAATTAAATACTAGTATTTACAAATGTACAAGTATGTGAAAGGAGAATAAATAATTAACATGTTCCCTGAATTCCATTGTTGGGATCTGATACTTGGAAGAGTAATTAAGCATCCCCTATAATGAATTGTCATAGCCACCATGAATTTTTTTTTGATAAGCCATGTTCAAATTTTGTAGGAAATGAAAGACATATCAATTTGTGTGAAAACATCTTTAAAACATCACATCTCCAGTGCAACATGGTAAAATAACAAGATATCAGTCTGAATTATTTGTTTAGATAAAAAGGAAATTATCCATTTGAAATGAAGGTAATACTTAAAGCTTCATGGTAACTGTAATATGTTGGCAGTCTCTCAACATTCACTTTGATGGGTCCAGACACGTAAACGTGATCCAGTATGGTACAACTTTCGGTTGTGTAAAATTGAACAAGCTGTCGGAATCCTTTTTTATTCATAAAATTCTGAACTGGGCCTGGGGTTATTGCATTTTCATTGAAATCTTCAACGAAGATGACATTTCTATTTTGCAAGGTAAAATATTCTATTATCTTTTGAAGTTGCCCTAGAAAGTAAGTCACGCCAAGATTGCTGGGACGGTACACAGTAACGACAACTGCATCATTTTCAACAAATGTCACTGCCATTCCTTCAACATTCTTCACTGGCAGCCGACAAACTATTTTCTGATTTTGATTTCGTTTCATGTAAAGTGCCACACCACCACCCTTAGAAACTTTGAATTTTTGTACTTGGTCATTGCATTCATCATATACATCTCCTCTTGGTGTATGATAAAAGGAGAATCCTTCCATTTCAAATTCTGTTGTGTTTTGATCAGGTCTTAACCAGGTTTCAGTCAAACAAATAACTTCTGCTCCATAAAATCGAACGTCATGTTTTAAATCTGAAAAATGATTAGTCAAACTTTGGACATTGTGTAGAATAATTGTATTGGAGCCCATTTCTTCTGTATTTGATGTTGAAAGCTTTGCTCTGGGCATTTCAGCGAGTGCTAGTTTCACTTCTGGATCAGCATACACTTTCTTTTGCAATGCTTGGGCATTATTGGTTTCGATAAACAGTCCATTTTTTGATGTTACTCTTGTCAGTGCAACATATGCTTGTCCTGGTGAAAACATCCGGTCTAAATTAACCACTACTTATTCGACTGTCATTCCCTGGACTTTATGACCGGTGCATGCCCAGGATAATCGCAAGGGAAATTGGTGTCTTACAAATGTCTTTGATTTTCTTTCAACAATCTCTTCCTGAACTCTCTGTACTAAAACTACATTTCCCTTTTGTGTTTGTTTCCCCGATTTTTTACCAACATTTTTGTTGTCAAAAACCACTCCTATAGCTGAAATGTTAGATGATTCCTTTTCAAATGATATGTGAGAAATGTAGCCCATCACTCCATTTACCAATCCGTCTTCCACATTACTATTTCTTGTAAGCATCACTCTTGCATTAATAGCCAGGAGTAACGTACTGCAAAGAGTATCTGTTTTCGAGCTTGTGAATGGTTTTTCTCTCAAAATAAGTTTTCCATTTGTTGGATTTTTCTGGAAATCTTTTGCATTGATTTCGATTAGATCATCGCAACTTTTCCTTAACATGGAGAGGTTGTAGTTGTTAACTTCTTCGTTTGTTGGATATACATGAAGTACGTCCTCTGGACCCTCTCTTATACAATCATGTATCATAGCTTGTGCTTCAGTTGATAATTGTTGATCTGCTTCTCGAATTCGGAGAGAGTTCAAAGCTGCCGCAAAAGGTATATCTTCACGCTGTCTCATAATTTCACCAAGTTCAACGACTTGGAAGAAGTCTCGCCAATAGTCCACAGGATACGAAGTGTTTTCTTTAAAAAGTCTTTCATCCTTCCGCTGTTTAACTGGAGGGAGTTGGTAAAAGTCACCTACAGCAACAACGCTTACACCGCCAAACGGTTCTTTACACTTCTTGATTTGAACGAGCCTTTCGTGAATGTAATAAAGAAGTCTTTTGTAAACCATAGATACTTCATCTATCACAAGAATCTGCAAGTCTTTCAGGTGAACCCTTATCTCGCTTAGACTCTGTTCTTTCAACGGTTGGTATGGTAAGGGCAAATACTTCGTCAAGGAAAACACGTGATGAAGCGTATTTCCACCTATGTTAAATGCTGCAGTTCCGGTAAAAGCTGACAGTAATACTGAAAAACTATCAGGTGAGGACATGTTCCGTGAAAATAATCGTGTTGCTTCATACTCTATGGCTTTGATGACATGGCTCTTTCCTGTACCTGCTCCTCCAGTTAAGAAAATATGGAGTGGATCGGGTTTATCTCCAGCAATTTTCTTTAAACACCAGTCACGTACATGGTAAAATACCTCCTTTTGCGTTCCATTAAGACTTTGCAGGATGGATAATGCTTCATACTTTGAATGATTATTCTGCTGAATTTGATAAAGCACATCAGAATTTGTCTGACTTTGAATATCAGGAATTGCTTCTTTAATTTGATCATCTAAACTTTGAATTTCATTTTTCTCTTTGATACATTCCTGCCTCACTGCTTCTGACTCTGGACAAAGGCTTGACCAAGCATCTTCCGGTTCTCCAATGCTTTCAAACGTCTCCTGAGCTTCAGTAATCACATCCTCATTTTCTGCATACTTTGCATGGTTTACGTCAACTATTGATTTTACAGACTCGACACGTTTTTTACCTTTGATTCTTATGTGACCATTTTCATAAAACGCCTCGTATAAATCAAATCCTGGTGGTTTTAGCTGTGCTTCATTCCAATGTGGAAGAAAAAGCTGTAATAAACACCGGTAATATTTTTCGGGCATCTTTTCTGCGTTGAACCTTGGATACCTTATAACAGCTGGCTGTGTTCTTGTCCTCTTCTGTACATACCCCTTTGAATTTTGTAATTCAAATACATGTTCATTTTCAGTTTTTGGAATCTGGGATTTAGCCAAGACTCTGAATGCTGAGCAAAATTCTGCCAGACACATGTCATGAAACAGTGGTTTATCTGGTCGATTTTCATATCTCTCTATTATATTGGTCATCCAAATCTCGTTTTCATCATCATCTTGTTCGCTTTCATTATCATGCTGTTCCCCTTTCTGTCTTTTTAGCTGGGAAAGTGGTTTACTTAACCGGGTCGGATTTTCACCTACAGGCACAAATACAACTTTTCTTGAACACTCTTTCATCTTTAAATTACAAACTCTGTACACAGCTTCTTGTGAACTAACTTCTCTATGGTGTAAATATGCTGAACCTATTTTCTTCAAGGTATTACGTGCATCAAGATTTCCTTCTTCTGCCTCTAGCTTTGTTTGTTTCAATAACATCCCCATTTCCCTCTCTGACTTCGAAATGTAGGAAATGATATATACAATACAGCTAAATGGATCAAGTACAAATTGAATATCCATATTCGCATCCCAACATTTCAAAAGGCAAGGATTGTACTGATTAATCCATAGTTCGCTGGGATTTCTTCGAAGGACAATAGATCTTTTTTTTGTCAGCATGTTATGCACATGTTCGTACTGTTCTTGGGACAATGAAAGATTGCTAAAAATTTCTTCAGAGCTTTTTAATGCATTTGACTCGTTTTGTACTTCATCCCAGACACGCATCAATACTTGTTTTGCAGAGGTTTTCCCAGATATAGTCTCTTGGCTATTTTCTGTGCTGTCGTCTTCATAGGGTGAACTAATAAATGTGCGTAGAGAGGGGGGTCTTGGAAAGTTAAATCTGCATTCTGTCCCTTTCTTCCTACAAGATTTTGAATGTTTCTTACTGTGTTGCTGTACTGCTAGGACAATATTTCTTAATTCTGGGTCCTCAGTCTCTGATGGCAATTCGCAAGAAACATATTTATCTATGAAATCGCAAACAGACTCTTCTCCGTGTTCGTCTAGTTTAGGTGCATTTTCTACCCAATACAAGCAATGCATATGAGGTGATCCTCTCTGTTGAAATTCAACTCTTTGAAAGTAATCAACAACTTTTCCAATTGGCTGAGCTGGAGACGATATAACATCTCTCTGAAAGACGTGAAATCTGTGTTCAAACATCCTTGCAACAGTCACTGGATTCTTTCTTAATGTCTCATTTTTTTCAGACCAATCTAAGTTTTCTGGATCTCTAACATCATTTTGCTGTCTCAATATCGATCTAACTGCATCATTCCATCTGTGTTCAGCAGCAGAGAAAGAGCAAAACCAGGTTGGAATACCTAATTGGCGGAGCATAGCGAAAAGATCCTTTTGAGCAGCTGACCAATATGCTGGTGTTCCTCGGATTGGCTGCATAAACCGTAATGCTTCATCGTTTTGTAACAACTTTGAGAGAACATATGGATCTTGCACCATGCTTGAAGTTACAAATTTCTCATTTCCCATTTTTGATACAGATTTTCGAACTGAAATCTGCGTTTTTTCTATGACTTGATTCAATTCTGACATAAACTGACTGAAAAATATATAACTGCTATCTTTTGCAAACCTATCATCTGCATTCATAAGTCTGTTATTGAAATATGGGAAAGTGTTATTCTTGTGCTTCTCTCTTCATTCCAAGTAAATTTTCCAATGGGGAAATGACAGGGAAACGCTTTAGCTTCATTTCCTGGTTCCTGCAACATTCGCACTGGATTTTTTCCTTCTCCGGGTGCAATGTTGTAAATGTCATCAAAATAATGATCCAGAACTTCTTGGGCAATATCAACAGGCTGTAGGCAAGTATCAACAGCAATTTGATGGTGTTCTTCATCTTCATTATTGACCCTTGTGTCATGCATTTCCTCTGTGTTTTCCTTCTTCCTTAATGGTGTCTTCTGTTAAGTTTTCAGTCATGTTTTCATTAATTGTAATATTTTCATACCACTTATTGTTTTGCTTTAAGTAACTAGAGCAGTAATTACATGTCTTGGATTCACAAACTGGTACTCAAAGTACCCTTTATAGCTTAGTTTTCTTTTTAATTTAACTCGCAGTAATAAATCCTCACCATGCTTTAATGGTAAACTGCTGGCTTTTTTTAAGTCTGAAGGCACACATACTACAGGTCCATGTATATGTCTTTGACCACCTTGGGGAAGAGCCATCACTTTCATAAAGGGAATGTGCAAAGCAATCAAATGTTGCTCTAAACTATTCAAATCGGTCAGTTGCTCGGGGAAATCTTCAAGACACATTTCATTGATTACCGCCTCTGCTGGAATATTTCCACCAAGAATCTTTCTGTGGCATGAATAGCATATCCACAAAGATGACCTGGTACAGCCCTTTGGACAAGATTCTGTACAATCATGTAAATACTTTTCTTGTATGCACAAATCTGAAACTTGTTTGGCACGTTCATTTTTAGAATATTGCTGACGACCACATTTTTGTACTTGATTTACAAATAATAATCGATGACAGCAACAACACACATAATCGATACCTTCGAGAGAATTTTCCTTAAATAATCTCACTACACTGTCTTCACATTTTAACTTTTCTTGTTTTTCTTCCCTCTGCTGCTTAACAGACTTTTTCTTCAATATCTTAGCATCAGCACTAGAATTATACTGTTTCTTACTGCAAGCCTTAATATTTGATCTGAAAAGATCATCTGTGCTATATTTTCTCGCTTTGGTGGACAGAATTTTTTCTCTGAAGTTTTTATTATTCTTGTATCTCTGTGTGAACTTAACTTGTTCTTTGTATTTCTCATCATTTCTGTACTTGTTCACATTTCTCTTTTTCATGTTTTTCCCTATACAATTCATCGTTTCTATATTTTTCTATTCCTCTCTTTTTGACATTTTCTCTAAATATAGCATCAGTTTTGTACTTCTGTGTGCTTTTCAGTTTTACATTCTCTTTATGTACAGCATTAGTCATGTATTTTTTCACACTTGCTTCTATTGATTTTTTCCTGTTTTCTTCATTATCTGCATACTCTTTTTTTCGCCTTACTTTACTCTGAGACTTTGTTTTGCTCCTGTACAAAATATCCTTTCTATACCTTTCTCGGTTCCTTGCTTTGACTGTAGACTGGAATTCTTCATCATCTCTGTACTTTGTGTAAGCTGCTCTCAATTTCTTTTCCCGAAATTCACTATTCTCTGATACTTTCTACGCAATGTCTGCTTTCGCTTTTCAGCAACATTTTGTTTTTCCATAATCTCTGTAAAAACTACTTCTCTATTTGATTGCATTCTTTGACGAGTTTTCGTTTTCTTTTGGTTGTACTTTGGAGCAAATGATTTGCGAGATTTGTTTTGAAACAGTGTTTCGTGTGTCACCTCAACATTCTTATCACATACTGCAGTAACTACGTTGTAATGATTCTGTGATTCATGACTTAAGTATATTGCACCCGATCTTTCCCTTATAGGTGAACCCCCTTTCTCCAATGAAAACCTCAGCCATTGACTTCTTGTATATGTGAAAATATCAATATTCATCATATGACTTGTTGCTAAAATTTCCAACTCGGTTGCCCACTTCCCATTTTGTGACATTGATGAGACAGAAATGTGCTCTTTAACAGTAGTTTCACCATTTCTTAAAAATGGTTTGAAAACGTCCTCATTTTCAAGCAAATGCTTACAAACTGCACTGCGAATTACATAATGATAATCCTCAGAATTTGTCAAGCTAAAGGATATAGCTCTGAAAAAGCAATTACCATCACCAAGAATTTCTTTTCGAGAACAAGGTTCCATAAGTTCCTTCACTGGAAAATGGCTAGCCACTTCACTTTTGTTACAAACATAAGGAAGATTTAAATTTTGACATAACTTCTGTTTTGTGTCAAAGACAAGAGGAACAAAGAAGAACTGTTCACACTCCACAGAAACAAAACACAATTCCTCATCTTCGCTTTTTGAATCATTTTCTTTTATTGGAAATTTACTCGAACTTTCAGCAGAATGACTATTGAACTTGTCTGTTTGTTTCACATTACATCTAGCCTCCAAATTGTTTTTCACTTTACAGTTGACACCGGTAACATTGCATTCAACATTTCTAAAATACCCCATAGAAATAGCCAGAGATTGAATATGAAGATTCACTTGCGCTAAATCTTGAAAAAGAATCCTTGTACTCTTCCCGTTTATACTTAACAATCCTTCTGAAGACCTAGAATGGGAATCAAATGAAAAATACCCATCTCCTGAACTACCAATCAACAATGTATTTCCACCAAAGCATATAAAGCATCCATCAGTTTCAGAAAGAGCAAGATGTAATGCTTCATCCAGTGAATATGCACCAAACTCCAGAAAGTTGAATCCATCATCTGATAAAATCACACTTGATAATGTCTCATTTGTTCCAAATTCATAAGAATGATCAAAGCATTCATACAGTTGAGGTAGTTCCTCTACCAACAAGTACCTATTACTAATTGATGAGCTTCTTTGCAAGTAAGTGTACAATTCATCACCAGTAACTAAAACCTTGTTAATATCCACTGTATTCCAGAACTTGCTGTTTTTCACTTTGTGATATGATAACCCTGCTAAACAATTTGCAACACATTGAGTTCCTGCATTGTCTTGAAACAATGGATCTCCCTGATGAAATGAGCCTTGAACATAATTATACATTGAACTGTCATTTGTGTGTACTGTTTCATTATGCTTGAAGTCCTTGTTCTCTCGACTTTCAAAACGACTCTCAGATTTTTTGCTCTCCTGATTCGTACGCATATTTGCTTGGTTTTTGTTCTCTTGTTTACCATACATATAATCTAAGTTCTTGTTTTGTTTCATCTCAATTTTCTCATTTTTACTGTTCAGATTTCCATTTGAGACACGTGAGAATACTGTTTGAATACTGTCTTTATAGCCCTCATCTTTTTTTAGTGTACTACTGGTCTCCTCCAACCTAGAGGTATCCAGCTGCGTCTGACCTGCTGGGCTAGGCTTAAAGCCATCATCATGCCCAGGTACTCTCGCTGGAGTACAAACCCACGCTGGGGAGTCAGGGGTCGGTGCCAATGCCCCGTTTTGGGCCTCCAGACGACTTCCCCGAGGAGATGACAACCTCGGGGCATTTGAGTGCATTTTCACACAAGGTGAGGCCTGCACCCTGGCCAGGGGTTTTTCCTCAAAAGGTGGCAACCCCATAAAGCCTTGCCCCGGAAGATTACCGGGAGGAGCTGAGACAGCTCCGTCCACTGTCCCGCAAGGAACAGCAGACTCTGACATCTGATCATCTGGTGGCTGGGAGGACAGAGATTGCTGAAGTCTTTTCTGTCTTTTCCGCTCCCTATCTTTCTCTCTTTGTTTCCGGCCTGAAAATCCTTTTCTTTTAGCCATCTAAAAAACACAAGTAATAGACATTTTCTTTATTTCTTTACCCTGCTTTATAAGTTAATGAAATTCAATTTATATTTACCCAAGGACTGTTAAATATTAATACAACTGATCATGACTTTACTGTACTTGAGAGGACAATTAAGATATCTACTTAGTATTTTAATGTTGAACTTTGATTGCTTATTGTGGCCATCCTACTACCTGGTCATGATTTGAACAACTTGATTTTAACAAGAAGCACACGGGCCACATTGCTCATCTGAGCACATTGGCTAGGAAAACGCACAAATCAGATCAGAATTAAAAAGTTTACTGAGTGGGTGGGGTGGGAGGAAAGAGGGCTTGAATTCTAATACTACTTGAGAATGCCTCCATATCAACTCTGCATATAACTTCATGAGAAAAAGATTTTTATAGATTTTTTTAACATTTTGTTTGTATACATTACTTACTGTAATAATTTGAATTTGACTCCTCATCATTTCCCTCCCTACCCCAAATGGTACTCATGATTTGAACAAATTTAAATCTACAATGCATGAGGATGCTCACATGTCAATATGACTTAAGTTTTCTGTTACTGATTTCATATGTTAAACTTTGATCAACCATTGAAACCCTTCCCTACCCATGGAGGTTATAATTTCAACAAATTTAATTCTACACTACCTGATTGTGTTAAAATTTCAAGCTTCAGCGATAAGTTCTGCAGAAACTGCGACAAAAATTTGTATTGTATAAAACATGAGATGCACAGACAGATGCACAGACAAACAGGAAGTTGACATTGCATTTGAACAGCAAGAGGCACATGGGCCACATCGCTCACCTGAGTAACTTGGGTGATGCAGATCTTTACCAGATTCCCCCTCTTGCTACAGTGAAATATCTGTATCTCGAAGTTGAAGGGATATGGACATGACTTCGAGATATCCGGGGGTTCGAGATATCCGAAGATATCTTCCAAAGTCGAATCAACGATGTCCCGTTTTTTCGTATATCTTCATGCGTAACACTATCCAATATTACAAACATGCAGTCTTTATGGCAGTCTTTATGGTAAAGTCTCTGGCATATTCGCAA